AGAGGACTTATATAGTTTCAAAGTTACCACAAAGATATGGGAACCAAAATAGTGTGGGAACTGGAATAAAGACATATAGCTGGGGCTAGGGTCTAAGCACCTGCCTGGCACGCGCAAGGACTCAGGTTCGATCCTCAGTACCAAATGCTGTGCCAGTCCCACAACCCTGGGCACACCATGCTGGCCCTGTAGCCAAGCATGGTGGTGCACGCCTGTAACCCCAGAACTGGGGAGGCTGAGACAGGAAGATCATTGCCAGGCAAAACTGTGTAGCGAGACCCTGTACAAAATAAATAAATATTTTTTTTTCTAAAAAAAGACATAATTGAACCAGAATATAATAGAAAGCCTGGAAACAAAGTCTTATATGGCTAGTTTTTTTAATGGAACTAAGGACTGAACTGGGCCCAGAAGCATACTTGTCAAGTGCTCTACCACTGAGCTACATCCTTGACTCACATGACTTTTGACAAAGGTAACAAGCTCCCTCAATGAGGAAAGGATAATCTCTTTGGTGCTCAAAAAATTGGAACTGGCCAAATAGCTCAGCGGATTAAAGCACCTGCAAAGCAGGCACAGGGCCCCAGAGTTCAATCCCCAGGCCTGCCATGCCAGCCCCGCCCCCAGGGCATGCTGAGATGGCAATTGAGACTGGGCGTGGTGGTGCGTGCCTATAATCCCAGACCTTGGGAGGCTGTAAACAGGTGGATCACGATGAGTCTGATCTAGGAGTGAGACCCGGAGCACCCTGTAGACCCCTCCCTAAAATACAACCCCCCAAAAAACCTGGACATACACATTCAAAAGAATGTACCCTTATCTAATCCCATATCTAAAAATTAACTCAAAGTGGACCAAAGACCTAACTATAAAAGCTGAAGCTATAAAACTGTTGGAAAACTTCATGATGGACTTGGTAATGATCTTGCATATGCTACTAAAGGCCACCAGTAACAAAAGAAAAAAGACAAATTTAAAGACCTTTATGTATTAAAAGGAGGCTACTGATAAAATGGGAAAAAAAATTGCAAATTATGTATTTAAGAGATTAATATCCATAATAGAGAGGTTCCTACAACTCCTTAACAACAAAAACCTAATTTCAAAACTGGAAAGAAACTAAACAGACATTTTCCTAAAAATAAGTGGCCAACAGGCACATGAAAAGCTGTTCAATACTCAGTCATTGTGGAAACTACAAGACACAACCTCTCACCTCCCAGGATGGCCACTATGAATACACCAAAAAGTAACTAGGGTTGGTGAGGATGTGGGAAAACTGAACCTTTATGTACTATTGCTGGGAATGTAAAATGGTATAGCTGCTGATTAAAACAGTGTGGAGATTACTCGGAACACTAAAAATAGAAGTGCCAAATGATACAGCAATTCTGCTTCTGGATATATACTTGAAAGGATCAAAAGCAGAGACTTAACAGTGCCTGCCTGGCAAGCATGAGGTCCTTAGTTTGATTTCCAGTTTAAAAAAAAAAAAAAAAGACAGAAAAGAAAGCAGGGACTTATAGGGAGGGGCATTTGCTTATCACAGCATTGTCACAATAGCCAAAATACAGAAGCATCTAGAGTGCCCATCAATGGACGGATAAACTAAGAATGGGTTATAAATAAAGATTTAGCTTTAAAAAGGGAAGGACATTCAAATGCATGCTACACCAAGGACCATCCTTGAGAACACCACGTAAGGAAGGCAAGTCAGCCAGAGAGGACTATCATGCTTGAGGTAGTGTCAAATTCATAAAGAAGCAGAATGGTGGTTTCCAGGGCCTAGGGACAGAGTAATGAGGGGTAACTGCTGAATAGGGACAGTCTTTTAGTTGGAAGATATTATGGTTTAGACTGAGATATCACTCTGTTGTCATCAGATGGGACTGGCGGGAAGTGAGCTTGGACCTCATTAAGTGGCTTAACCCATTGATGAGGTGGCATTACTGGGAAGCGACAGAAATGGGACACGAGCCTCGCTGAAGAGAGTGGATCATGGAGTTGTGCCTAGGAGACTTCATCTGACCCCTCAACCCCGCCCTCTCTGGCTTTTTTCTTTTGCTTTCTCGCTGCCTATGGGGAGCAGCTTTCCTCTACTGCATCCTCCTGCCACCATGTTCTGCCTCATCACAGGCCCAAGAGCAATTAAGTAGCTGCTCATGTACAGTAGCCTCTGAAAATAGGAGCTAAAATAAACTCTTCCCCCTCTAAGTCATTTATGGGTGTTTGGTCATGATACAAGCTGACTACACAGGATGAGTGGAATTTTGGAGACAGATGGTAGTGATGGTTTCACCATATTATGAATGTAGTTTATGCCACTGGGCTTTACAGTTAAAAACGTTTAAGATGCTAAGTTTTGTTATGTGCAGTTTACAACAATAAAAACATAAGGGGAAAAAAATTGAAGTTCTCATATATGCCACAACATAAAGACATATGAAGTGAACTAAGCTAGCCACAAAAGGCCACATACTGTATGATTCCATCCACACAAAGATCCGAGCATATTCAAATTCTCAGATACAGAAAGCGGAAGGGTGGGTGCTGGGGATGGGGGAGGTGAAATGGGAAATCAGTGTTTAATGGGGACAGAAAGTCTCTTTGGGAAGATGAAAATGTTCTGTGAATGGAAGGTGACACTGTATAACTATATGAATGTGTTCAATTCCAACCAAATCCTTTATGTACACAAAAATGGTTAGAGTAGCACATTTTATTATGTATAAGTTTCCATATAAAACCATGTAGGAAAAATCCAGAATGTCTGAGCACAGGAATAGCTAGCGCATGGCTGTGGCCCAGGTTTGGAGTTCAGCCTCCACAAGGCCTTGGGGTAATATTTGGAATCACTAACTTTGTTCCAGAATAGTGTGAGTCTATGGAAAATGGATTGGAAGACTACACTTATGGAAGTTATAATGGTTGAAATTACAAACAACACCCAAAAGGTTCACATGTTCAAAGGTAGAGCTTTGGGTAGCTGAGTGGGTCACACTGGTACTAACCTCATGAATGGATTCATCTACTGCTTGATACCTAAATGGACTGAGTTCTTGGTTGAATAGACTGTTAGGAGCTGGGGTCTGGCTGGAGGAAGTAAGCACACATAGAAGAAGGGTGTAGACAACCTCTGGTCCCTGTCTCTAGCCCATTCACCATGAGAAGTAACCACCACACGCCCTCACCATGATGCTCTGCCTCATCAAGAATACAGACGCAATGGAGCCAAATAACCATGGGTGGGCTGAAGCCCGTGAAACCCTCAGCCAAAACAAACCCTTTCTTTCTCCTTCACACTGTGCACATGACTTTTGGCCCAGCAAGAGAAAGCTGACTAACAGAGGTATACCTGTCAGGAGGGATCTGCAGGTTTTCAGAAGAGAAATAAGGATGATGTAGTTTGGGGATGTGAATATGGAGAGGAGATGACACAGATTCAGTTCTAGCCAGGTATGGGGACACATACCCATAACTGCAGCAGTCTGGAAGGCCACTGCAGGAGGACCACGAGCCCAGCCTGGGCAACACAGTGACTCAGTGAGATACTGTCTCACAAAAAAAAAAAAAAAAAAATTAAAGCACTGGAGAATGTAGCTCTGTACTAAGGCCCTGGGTTATTTCTAGCAAAAGGCAAAAACAAAAACAAGATTCTACCCAAATTTCAAGGGGCCAGCAACAAAAGTTGACAACATAGGTCAAAAGAAAGTTCCAGAAAACTTTAATTGAAAGTACGTATCACAGTGTAGCTAAACTACAAAACAGTAATAAAAATGTCAATAGAAAAATTAGAACTCTTCAGATCATAATGGGAATTATAAACTATTTTGAACTGAAATTAGTGAAAGTATTCTATGTTGACACTTTTATGATGCAGTTAGAGGGAATTCTATGGACTGAATGTAGCAACCAATGAATTACATATCATTAGAAACTGTCCAGAACAAGATTAGCCCAAAAACAAAAGGAAATAAATAAAAGGCGGAAACTAATTAAGCATACAATAAAGAATATTCTCAAAGTTCCTGGGAAAGGCCAATAAAGTTCACAAATCACTATGGAGATAGGAGAGGGATCACCAGTAACCAATATCTGGAAAGAAAAAGATAAATCCTGCAAACTGTAAAAATAAGAGCTATTACAAGCAAGTGTATGACAACTGTGTTGAAAATTTAGGTAAATTTAATGAAGGAACAGCAATTGCTAAGAACTTAACAAGAGTTTCAAGAAAATCTAGACAATACAAATGACCTTAAAACTGTAGAAGGAACCAGTTCCCTAATGAAAATGTTCCCTTCAAGGGACAAACAAATGTGTGACAAACACAGCACACTGTCAACCAGAGTGTAGGTGGTGGCACACACATGTGCACTCCAGATTTTCAACTCATGTGCATTCAAACTTTTTCAGAGCAAAACCTCATAGGTGGATGTTTCCCACAACAGCATACTGTAGCCCAGATAACTTCATCTGAGAACTTATTAAATATTTAAGGTGAAAATAACCCTTGTATTTCACAAACTCCTCCCATGAATTCTGACACAAAAAAGCATACTTCTAAGATGGGAGAGCAATCCTTGCCCTCTCCCTTGCTGGTTCCCTGTTTGGGAGCCAAAGCTTGCTGCTAGCTGCCATGAGGTGATGGGCACACTCACTCCCTTTGGCAGCTTGGGCATAGACAGTGTGTGGGTGGAGATGAGTCTGTCACCCCAGGTGAGGCTACCTGCCAGCTGTGGGCTGCAAGGCTCAGGTAGCCCAGACTGAGGCCTCTGAGGTAGCTGAGGCCCCAGACTATCCTGTCCCCTCCACATGCTGGAGACCACAGGAAAGTCACTGGCCTCCTACTGGGTAAGAAAAGAAAGCTTTACACAAAGGGCAATCTGTGATCAAACTCAGGTCATGAATGGAAAGCACTAGCATGCAGGATGCTAGCAACCACTTCCAGCCACCATGCCCACTGCCCACCTCCCTGGCAGAGCCGCACCGCCTGTACTCACAGCCCGCACCTCGCTGGGGGCCTCCATGCCGTGTAGCTTCTGCGTTTGCTTTAGCTGGTTGAGCGTGGGCTTCAGCTGCGCTGCCCCCACCGTCTTGGTCGTCCACTCATCCACCAGCTTGTGCAGGTCGTCGGTGAAGGTCCCTTTCTTGTTGTTGCTGTTGTTCACCTGCGCCTGGATGTGCAGGGTGGGCGGGGGACCCGGCTCGGGGCCTGGGGCCAGGCTGCTGGTGGAGGACCCTGGGGAGTCACACACAGGCCAGGATTGGTGACGCCACACACTCGCCTAGCGCCACTGGCGGGCTGGCTTCAGTCATTTTTACATGAAGGCCAAGAAAATGGCCTCACTTCTGTCAGACAACACCTTGCTTCAAGAGGTGGTCAGGATCACAGGGCCTTGCTGCCCAGTTTTAGACATTGTAGGGCATTTACATGGGCTGAGTGCCCTGGCTATGCCAGGGGGCATCGCCCATCTCATAAGCCACGCAAAGGGGACAGAACCCACAAAGCTGGCAGCCTCTGTTCAGAGTCCTCTCTGTGCCCACCCCTGCCATCCCATCAGAGTCATGGCACTGGTGCCCCAGGGAGTGTGTCCAATTCCTTGGGCTCTGTGTGGCCTCTGTGTTCTCAGGGTAAAAGGAAGCAAAGCAGAGGCCAGAATGTGCTGCAGGGTGCTCAGCACCCCCTAGCCTGCAGGATTCGCACTCACACAAGTGAATTTTAATGCTCTGGTGTCTGGATTCAGAACTAGGAAACAGCACTTCCCCTTCCAGAGCGTTTGGAGAAGAACACAAGAGCCTGAAGAGGCTCCACCTGCTCCAAGGCTGGCTGCTGTGGACTGGAGCCCCAGGCTCATCAGATCACGGGGCTTCTGCATTCAGGGTGTTTTTTTTTTTTTTTTAATGATCAACAGGAGGGCTTAAAATTAAAAACAAAACATTATCTCTTTCCTTCTCTGCTACACACATCATTTCTAGTTGGCAATTTTGAATAAGCCAATTTGATTTTTTTCCTGTACTAATAAAAACATCAAAAACTAATGACCATCTCTTAAAACAAGCTGTTCCAAAATGTAGTGTACTTTAGTGGCTAGCAATGACAAGGCAGAGACACAAACAACTGAAAATTAGTGATGAGATTTTACACACAGAGCTATTTCTACATGAAAACTTCAGCCAGGAAAGAAAACTAAAAATTTGAAAAAGTTACAAAAAAAAAAAAAAAAAAAGGGAGCAAGAGGGAAAGAAAGAGAAGGGGAGAGAGAAAAGAGAGGAAGAGATGAGAGAGGTGTGAGTGGCCCAGGTAGACTAATACCCATTCGGTCCTCGTATCTCTCCTCGGGGGAAGCACTCATCTTTAGCACTTCAAGGAAATACTGAGTCCTACGGTTTTGGAAAAGGAGCCAATTAATGATTGGCAATTTGTGGACGTTGCAGAGAAGGACAAGCCTGTTAGATGTTAACTGGCGAGGCCGCACAAACTCTAGGAGCCATGGAGACACAAAGGGGAGCTACGGGCAGCTATTCTGCCAGGCAGAAGCGAAGCACAGCCCGCGGGGCGGGCACTGAGCAGGCCACCCTGCTGCGCACTAGCCACGAGAAAGCCCATGCGATGAGAGGGGACAAAGGGGGTAAAAAACCCAGATAATTACTACTGCTGTGTTCTTTGCCTAGGCAGAGACGCTTCAGGGCTGACCCTGTAAGGGAAAAACAAACGACACAAGACCACAGGGTTAGGCAGAACGGAACACACCGGTCACACTACCACACTTAAGCAAAGTTGTCAGTGTGCAGGGAGGGACAGACACAGGCAGCAATTCAGAGAGGAGGGCTGGCCCGGCCTGGGGTAACGGGGTCGGCACCTCCAGAGTTAGTGTGCAGGCTCTCACAGGCTTCGCTGAGGAGGCAGAGGTGCCAGGGCAAGCCCCCAAGCTTCGGGAGAAGTGTTTGTCTCTAGAAGCATATTCCAGAAAAGGAAAAAGAGAAGGAAAAAAAGAAAAACAACAACAACAAAAAAGGATAAAGAAAAGAAATGAAAAAACCAAAAAGCAAAACACACCACTTGGCTTTGAAGAGCCAGGCTTTGGGGAGCACCACCAACAGAGGCAGGAAACCCAAGGAGCCGGCCCCAGGCTCTCTGACTAGAGCTGGGCACCGCCTGGGCTGGCCGCAGAGGCCGGTGGAGATTTCCCAAGTGCAAAAAGATACATTGTTTTGCAGGTTTGAGGCCAATTTTGGATCCCAGATGGCTGCAGTGGATGAGGTTTGACAGGAGCATCAAGCAGTGGCTACACAGAAGGGCTCTGACTCCAGGCCACACTGCTGCCTCGTTATAAAAGTCCACATAGCCCCTCCACTCAGGGCAAGGCCAGGCCTCCTTGTTCCTGGACCATATTAAGCAGATCTGTCCCAACTAGTGAGGCAGCCTGGTGTATCTCAGGCAGGGAAGATAGGGACAGCAACATCTGGCAGGGCCTGGAGGGAGGGGCCTGAGGCTAACCAGGAGCTATGCTGAGGTCCTGCTACTCCAGCTCATCCTACAGCCTCCCAGAAAGCTGAGACGATGACATGGGCTAGTTCAGAGGTCCCCAAGGTCACTCAGCAAAGCCACTCTAGAACTGAGGATGTGCGCTACAGCCAACAGCCCTCCCTCCTCACCAGGGCACTTTCCTTCTTTGCAACACCAAGCTCCCAGGAAGGGGGGCACGCTTGGCACCATTCCATGAGGCTGGGTACACCTGGGGACCTGGAAAACTTAGGGACATCAGCCTTCCTTTTGCCTTGGGAGACAGTGCACAAATGCTGGACATCAGTATATACCAGACTTGAAACCCGGCTCACATAGACTTGACTTACTTTATCCTATATAATCGCTAAGCCTACTGTGCTGAAGTGAGGCCATGTGCTGCCGGAGTCTTAAATAAACAAAGAGGAGCAAAAGGAATCCAGATAGATCTCTCTGGATAAAAAAGGCAGAGCTATCCCTTTTCCTGGTCCATTTTTGAGACCAAGTATTGTCTTCTACATCAGGCAGGGGCCTCTGGGGTCTGGCAGTGGCCTGTGCTGGAATCCCAAATGCAGAGCATTAGGAGAGCACCAGTGTCCCCTCAGGTTTTGTGTGTGGTTGTACCTGCCTGGGCTGCCACAGGTCCATCAGGACAGCCTTAGGACAGAGATAGGATCTCACCAGGTCCCCCACAACTGGGCTGAAATAGGTGCTTCAGAGAAAGGCCACTGGTGCCCACCTGGCAACTCATGGAATGACCGGCAGCACTGTTTTCTGGGTTTCTTCTTGGCTACTTTCATACTGGGAAGAATACCAGATGGACCAGCTGCCACCTGGCCTTCCTAGACTTTGCCCCCAAGTAACCAGATCACAAACAGCTCCAATCTCTGCACAGACTGCTCAGCATGCCCCCTGACACTAAGGCTGCATGCTGCAGCACTTGAGCAGGGCCTCCAGGGCGCAGCAACCTCTTAGGGGGCAGGGGCCTGGCTCCTTCTGGATAGCACTGCCCTGCTGCAGGCAGTTACTCCACCTCTCCAGAGCATCTCTGTCCTTGTCTGGGCTCTGCTGTGCACACACTTGCCCAAGGATGTCTATTGGAGAAGCTCCTGCTGGATCCTCCAGGGCAGAAAGGGAAAGAATCCACCTCCTGGTGCATGACAGGTTGAACCGGGGCTCATCCTGGGCTCCAAGGAGGCTGCTCCACACTGCAACACACTGGGGCACAAACCACACACTGCTCCTTCTGCAGTCTCCCCCTTTCTCCAGCTCCAGCACCCACCAATACTCAGGCCCTTGGTGGACAGTGAGGATACCTCCAGCCTGAAGGACTCCGCACTGAGGATGTCTGACTAGGACAGACAGATGGCTTGAAAAGTGGGTCAGACCTGGAGCAATTCCTCACATGTGCTTTTTATATCTCAGTGTTCAAATACTGACAAAGTTCACAAGAACAGCAGAGGCAGGAGCATCCACACGGACCCCGTGGGTCAGCCCTCCTGGCACCTAGCAGCTCAGGGCCTGCGTCCAACTGACTTCTCTCCCTCTTAGGACCTCCAGGGGCCATCCTGACCCAACACGATGTCAGCAGCCCCATGCCAGCATCCATGGCAAAAACATCTTTCAGGCTATCTCTGCATCATGTATTTGCATTCTCAAGCTGAGATATTCACCAAAACTGCGCATGAAGCATCAATTCAGAATCAAGGACATGTTTTGGTCCTGTGGTGGGGGTGGGGGAACACTTTTACTCCATCCAGGGTTGCATGGTGTTGTGTCCCTAGCGACCACTTGCTCTCCACCAGAGAGGAATGAGGACATTTCAATGTGCAGAGAGAGCTATGGGGGTCCCTGACCCAAACTGAATGCAAACAAGGAACAAGAAAAGTGCGAGGTTTCACAGGTCCTGTGTGCTGAGAGAAAGGCCCAGAGAGTGCCACTGTTTGCCTGGTCAGGAGGATGCTACAAAAGGAGGCCATCCAGGCAGGGTGTCCACAACTTCTGACCAACAAAACCACTAGTGTGTGCTGCCTAAGGTTCTGGACCCTTCCTTTTGGGATCCTTCAGGACGTGCAGTCACCAAACTCCTCCACAAGGAGGAGTTGCTGCCCCACCTCAACCTACTCTAGCACCTCCTCTGGGTCCATTCTACTTGTGGAGCCTCTGCTACCCTAGATAGGACCCTGCCCACCACCCAGCCTACTGTACCACCATGTCAGGGGCTGTTTCTTCTCCAAGCTTCATGGTAGTTGAAATCTTTCTATGTGTCAAAACTTAAAAGCATGTTTTGTTTTCCTAGAGCCTCTTCTCTTCCAGGAAGTGGGAATGTCTCACACTGCAGCAGCAAACCCCAAACGCTAAACTGTGTCAAGCAAGCACCGGACAACCCTGCTGCCCCATTCCCTGCTGCACCTAGGGATCTAGCCCCTCCATTCCTTGCAGTCACTCCTGACAGCATGACTACCTGATCCACAGCCCTGTAGCCACGCAGGGCTGGAATCTTCCAGAGTCATCTGCTCATGCTGCCCCCACTCCAAGCAGGGGCCAGCTCCTCTTCCCAACCTACTACTGCTTGGTCCCACCGCTTCAGTCCTCTTGCACTCACGGGGCTTTGACTTTTCTCCAGCCCCATCCACGTAATGCTTAGTCCCCACACACCTCACCTCTGCCCCCTCCCCTTCTCTACAGGGCTCCATTTTTAGATCTAGTTGATAAGACAGAGGACTGAGTGAGAAGCCCCCACCCTATATTCCAGAGGCAGAAGCACAGAGGAGTGGGGTCCTTCCAGGGGCAACCCTACAGGGCAGCAGGGAGAGATGGGTAGCCAAGCTGTTGCCTTCCCAGTCCATGTACTACAGCAGAAACAGACATCTACCTGGGCTCTGCCTGACCCACTGTGTGGGGTTCACTGGCCACGTGTAGAAGAGACAGGGCTGTGGCTCAAACACAAGGCCTGTGGGACTCACACCACATGCCACACCTGAAGCCAATCTGCCAACTTGCATCAGACTGTTCATCCTCCTGGCCACTGGACCTCTGTCTGCACTGGATTTCGTTTCTGACTTTTAAGTCTTGAACCAGTGACTCAGAATAACCAATGAAAACCTTTAAACACAACCCTGGGTAGAGTAGTGGTCCTGATCTCAGGAGCACAACCACAACACTTCACCTCACTCACAGCAAGAAAGTGGCCACATGGTTTGCTCTGGTTCCCAAGCTTGGCTGGCAACTGCTCTGGGGGTGGGAGACACTCAAAGATCTGGGTGTCCTTACCCTGGAAATGAGCCTGGTATGAGTTGCACATGTGACAGGGATAGCAAGAACATGTCCTGGCAAACAGGGACCAGGATGGGGCCAGACTGCTAGAAAGACAGAAGGACAAGCAGACTGTGACTTCCAGCCCCCTCTCCAACTCACTCAGCAACTGACCGGAAGTCTGACAGACACGCTACTAGCCAGATGCTAGTGACTGCTCATGGCTTGAACAGGATAACTTACTATATGGACAGAAAGCCACTGGAAGTCCCTGACAGTGCCACGAGGTCCTGTGCCTTCACCCTGTCCCACCTGGACAGTGGCAGCCCATGTGGATCTCTGATGGAGGTGGTGGTGGGGTAATGGCAATGGTCGCTTACTGCAGATGTGGCCTCTGGGTCCCCACAAACACAATGTATCTTTATTGTACAAGTAAAAAGTGATGTGCCCCAAACCAGCATCTCCAATCCAATTGCCAAAAAGCTCAATGTTTCTGTTTAAAAGACAAAAACCTAAAAACTCCATAGTTTGGCTATAGAGGCCAATCCCTGTAAGGGTTAAAAGCATGTTGAACCATGGTTGGTGGTCAAGAAGGTGTGCCCTCCCAGGAGCAAGTCCTAGGGGCTCTCACGGGGGTGGAACTGGGTTTGGTCTGGTGAAGCCTGGAGGAGCTGTGTCACTGACTCCCTTCCTGATGGGTCATCGGGAGACACTGCAAGCAAAGTGCTCCAGCTGGATGGTGTGGGACAAGGGTCCAGCAGGACACCGCTCCATAGGAAGAGCCTCAGGGTAAGAAGTCAGTTTCATCTTTTGGAGTGGGAATGAGCAGATTACAGAAGGGATCGCATTTCTGTTGGGAAAGCCCCAATCTTCTTTTTGCAGCGCTGGGATGGAACCCAGGACTTTGCACATGCTAGATAAGCGTTCCACCACTGGGCTACACCTCAGCCCCAGGGGCCAGTTTTTATAATCTCTGTACAAGGGCATACAGGGATGGTGGGCAGTCATGGGACTGGACACTGGGCTCAGGCCCCTGCATGAGGTCACGCCCTGCAGGAATCATCAGGGCAGTATCTGTCACTATGTGTATGCATTCGGAGCCCAGACACATGTGCGGCATGTGAAGCATACCACACACCCAGAGAAAGTTGGGGTTGTCTTTTTGTTGTAGCTGGAATTAGGGGACAGTAGACATGTATACTGGCCACAATTGCAACAGAAAAGAAAACCACATCCAACATAAAAAAAATATTAAATAAATGAGGTGACGGAAGGAATGCAGAAGGCCCTGGCACGTGTGGGTGGGTGGAGGGGCCTGGTGGAGGGGGGCACACCGCTGCACATGCTTTTGGTGCCCGGGCGCAGCCAAGAGCATGCACACAGCCATCGGGGCTGGGGTGGGCACAGACAGTGGCATTTAGCAGGAAGGACTCATGGAGTCCACTTTTCCTATTGAGGGGTGATTTCCAGGGGTTGGGGGGCATCCTATGAAATGTATGAGAGGAAATGAAGACAGGGAGTAGGGAGGTGAGAAACCAAGGGCTGGGAGGTGGGAAAATACAAAAGAACAAATACAGACAGATGGACACAGATACGGGTCCACTGAGGAATCGAGCACGAGGCTTGCTACTAGACTTATAGGCCCCTCTCTCAGACGTTGGGTGGTAAACCGTCCAGCCTGCAAATGAATATAAAGGGAAGAAAACAGAGAGACACTCATCAAGTATAGGTCGCTGCGATTCCTCCTCCACACCAACAGCTACACCAGCCTCGCAACTAACCAGCCACGGCTCCATCTAGCCCAGCCCGAGCACCACAGCCACTGACCATGAATGGGAAGGAGGCAATGGGAGGAACAGAAGAGAAGCGGCCCAGAGGAAAGGGGTGGGGCACCTGCCTCGGTCACCATGATTTCTCTGGACAGAGATGGTGAGGACAGGAGAGTGCCTTATAGAGCAGCTGCTGCCATCCATGGCAGTGTTGATGTGACAGCATTTTCTCCTCGGGGCCAAACTCCCAGCTGCAGAGCTGAGCCCTCATCCCCCAGTGTCCCCTGGACTGTGGAAGGACCTGGTGTTTAGCACCATCAGGCTCCGCTGCAGGGCAGCCAGTGCCTAGGAATGGGTGCCACAGGCCACAGGGAGATGCCAGGCCCAACCCCTTCCTGGTCATCAGGCTGACCCCTCCCGGTCCTGGCCACCTCCCTGAGGCCCGTTCTAACAAAGCCATCACCTGCCTCTGAGCTGCTTACAGCAAGACCTGGTGATGAGGGGGCAACTTTCTTCTTGCATCCAAAGACTATATTTTTCTTTTTTTTTCCAAAGCTGCTCAGCAGCCTGGGCTGCGGTTCTGACCCCCTTGACACACACAGGCGTGCTCCTGGGACACCACTGAGGCCCTATGTGGCTGGCACATGCTCGGAGACAGGCAAGCTGGAAATCACCTTGGCCACGCGCTCCGCCTCCGTCACTGGCTAAGCCGGAGCAGATGTCTGTGGACAGGGAGGCTCGGACGGAGCAGGGCTGCTGGGTCTGAACTGCCTTCGCGCATGGGGGCGTGCTGGCGTGGGCAGGGTCCTTAGCGGGAGGGCCTCTGCTGGAGTCAGACAAATGACCTGGGCGGGGAAGGGAGAAGAGGCGACATGCACCATGAGGTGCCGCCAGGCAGGGGTGGGCGCGGGCTGGGTCTGTTCTCTGCTCTTTGCTGGGTGACCTTGGGGAAGTGAAGTCTCCCGACAACTGACACATGGCTGGTCTATCTCCTGGACAGGGATATTGAGGACAGTCAAAAAAAGTGTCCCCTCTCCACCTATACCCAATGTTATGGCAGACTTGGGACCTGTCTCATGACAGTAAGTGATAGGCTCATATGTGGGCTCAAAGTGACGTCTCACTATAAAGAAGTGTCCCTCAGCTCTGTACTGAATCCAGATAACTTCAGCAACCCATGGGTGGTTTGCAGTTAGTGAACATCTGTGCTTATCTCACCAGTGCCTTCCTGCGTGGCACACCTGGGGTCTTGGATTCTAGGGTTTCCACCCCCTACTGCTGGGGCTGCTGGCCAGTGTGTACCCTGAATTGTCACTTAGCATGTCAAAGGAATCCCTGATTGCATGAATGCTGCCCAGAGGCAGGCTGGCACAGCCCCAGGTCCTAGGTGTCACCCTTAACAAGTCTAGGAAGACAACACCATCTCCCCACCGGAAGGCATGTGCCTGAGATGTAGGTCAGAGGAAGGAGCTGCCCTCTGTCCCAGGCTGCATCCTGCAAAGAGGTACAAGTAGGAAGAACGATTTTGGGCTTCCCTTGCACATCCACAAACCAGTTGTGGCTGAGGATACACCTTTTGCACTCAGGGCTGAGGGCTGGCTCCAAGCAGGCCCTGCCCAAACCCAGGCCTGGCCCCTCTGTACCAAGCGCAAAGGCCCAGGGCCTCCCTGGGCCCATAATGACCTCACAGCTCCCATGAGAAGATACAGAAAGAAAACTCCAGAAGCTCTTCCAGGTCTGGGGGTGTCATATCTGCACAGAGGTTGCCTCCCAGGCACCCTCAGGGTCCCCCAACCCCTCCCAGCCAGCCCCAGCACAGCCCACCTCCCAGCGGGCCGACCTGTGCTAGAGGCCACGACCTTGAGCTGCTGCACCAGCGGGTTGAGCAGCTTGCCAGCCTTCAGCTTGCCCTTGCTGGTTTTTCTCCGGCGGCCAGTCGGGGGTGCCGTGTGGAAGAAACCCACACTGGGTGGAAGCGGCTTGCCCAGGCGGCGGTAGAGAGCTTCAATCTCCTGCTTCTGCTGGCTCTGTAGCTCAGAGATCTCCTTCAGGTGCCTGGAGGAGGAAGAGAGGAGGCAGGGAGGGTGGGCTCTCCTGCAGGTGGGGCTGGTGGTGGGGAGAGAGGCAACAGGGTTGGCAGCCATGTCTACACCTCCTCGGGGGCCACTTAGGAACATTACGTGGCACTGTCTGGTCACATGTAAGCCAGGCAGGTGCCAAGCCAAGGGCTCTAGGCATTGATACACTCAATAGCACAGCTGCACAAAAGGATTTATTGTGAGATACTCAGAATCCTCATTGCTGCTCTCTGGCTAGGGAGCCAGGGGACTCAATCTTTGCTTGCAAGGAAAGCCTTAAGCACCAGCACAGGTAAAGAGAAAGTCAGCTGGTGCTTTGAACCCAAGGCTTGCCTTGGTTTATTAGGCCAGTATGTGTGGTTTGCTCTGGGCATGGCAGTCAAGGGTGTGGGGAAGTTGTCTCAGTTGAGGGCCAGTGCTGCAGAAGTGAGCGGAAAGGACAGTCCTGCTTGGGGGCCTCGCTGAACTCTACCCATGGGGTCTGTCCACTGTGGTGGGTCCTGGTGAAAATCAGGGGGAACATGGATGGAACTCGGCATGGGCAAGGGTGAACTTTAGGGCAGATGGGTGAAGTGGTGGCCCCAGACTAGGACTCTCTAGTTACACTTTTGGTGGACTCGCTCGCTGGCCTCTGGCACCCTGCACTTTGGGAGGTCTGATGCTAACCCCATGATACCCAGCCAGCCCAAATGGATTTCATGGTTAAAAATAAGGAGGCTAGTTCTGACCTCTGCTAATACCAAATAAAACCCGCAAAAAACAAAGCTTCTTGGAAAAATCACTAGATTCTGTACAGTTAAGGGGCAGATTCTTACTGCATGTATCTTTAACATCCGCCACATATTTTTGAGAAAGGTTTTCTGTAGCTATTAAAAATAATACAATAGTCCCTCGCTATTTCGCAGTTTGACTTTCATGGCCTCACTGTTTAATCTAAATTATTTATCGTGGATTTTTTGCTATATCATGTGATTCTTAGTAGTGTAAAGTATACCTATGTTGTTAAAATTACATAAGTTTATGAATACATTAGAATTTTTAAAAATTCTAATGGGAAGGGTTTATAAAATATACATATATAAATACTTAAACATAAGGTCACTATTTCACAGATTTTCACTTATTGCAGGGTTGCCTAGAACGTAACCTCCACAATAAGTGAGGGACCACTGTAAATCACAAAGTGTGACTTTCTCCCTACAAGCGGCAGAGAGTGACAAACTGCTTTGTGCATGGGGTTTGCATGTAGCTAGCTGCCTGCGGGGTAGGGAGGGGGGTGCTGGGCCAGCAGAGGGGGCCTCTTACCCAGGATCTCAGGTCAGCATCTATCCCCAGTCCCGCTGCTGCCACCCACTGCCCACATGAGTGGGCTGTGCTAGTGCTCAAGGCCTAGGAGGCTCAATATCTGAAATCACAGGTTGGGCTGAGCCTGAAGTCCCTGTGCAGGTGTCAGAAACTGTGAGGCCCAGACACTTGTATACTAACAAGGTGTCCAGGGACTCTCAGGCAAGAGAGGCTTGGGAATGACTGACTACTTCCTGGCAGATACCAGCAGGTCCCCTCAATTCTAAAGCCTCTCTCTCTCTCTCTCTCCCTCCCTCCCTCCCTCCTTCCCTTCTTCCTTCCTTCCTTCCTTCCTTCCTTCCTTCCTTCCTTCCTTCCTTCCTTCCTTCCTTCTTCTTTCCTGTATTTAGTACATGGTCTACAGGGTCTCACTATGTAGATCAGACTCATGGTGATCCTCCTGTTTTCAGCCTCCCAAAGCACTGGGATTACAGGCGCATGCTACCATGCCCAGTCTCATTTGCTGTCTCAATGAACCATGGGGGTGGGGATAGGATTGAACCCCAGTCTCTTGTCTGCTTGCGCTTTAATCCCCTGAGCTATCTGGCCAGCCCTCAATTCTAGACTAAGGACCAAATTCTTTCCCATCTCCGCTTAGAAGACCACCTTCTTTCCACTGGACTCCATGGCTCCCCTTCCCTGAGTCTACTCAGTCCCTTCCTTGGAGGTACTTCTTGGACTTTCCCTTTCCCTCCTTTTGCCTTCCCCTTACTCTAGACCCTGCCATACCCCATGTAACTCTGGGACCCCCTCCCCTGGCACCCAGCCAGTCTCACTCAGGTACAGACTCTCAGTTGGGCTCTGTTCCAGGATGGCCTCATATCTAATGCTACCTTTGACCCTGACTGCTGGCTCTGGGGGGGGGGTGGGAATCCCATTTTGCATCCCTTCCCCTGCCTCAAAGGTTCTGGCTAGTGCTGGACCCTCTCACCTGCCTGAAAACTCAGCTGGGAGGTGTAGCCCCTGGGGCCACCTTCTGAGAATCCCCCAACTCCAGCAGCCCATCACAACTTGTCTTCCTGCCTCCCCCAGGGCTAAAGCTCCCCTCTTTCTGCCCCTCCACAATTCTTGTAGCTCTCAAAGCCCCTTAGCAAAGCCTGAAGACAAGGCTCCTCCTACATGCATCTTTGAGTTCTGAGCCCAGTTGTGTGGTACTGGGTAAATAGGTTATTCCACGGGCATTGTAGAGTTGCAGCAGCCACAGCCTGGGAGCTGCAGGGCTGGGCTTCTCTCTTGCCCCAAGGGATATCTCTTGGTAGCAGTAATGCCAACTATGGAGAAGAATGACATAGTGAAGCAGAGACATAAAGAGAGACATATACAGAGACACAGCAAGTGGGTATGGAAGGCATGTGTCTTGTGACTCCCTGCAATGTCCACCCTGAGAGTGACAAAGCAAGAAGCCTGGCCCATTAAGGGAGGAGTGGCCCTCAAAGCCAGGCAATGAGACCAGCAGAACCGGCTGCCTACCATGGAGGACACCCTGATAGGAAGCTTCTGCTCATGGCCCCAGGGAGGATGCTTGTGGGTCTCATCACAGCCCTGTTGCCCTGACAAGCTGCTGTGAACAGACTTCAACCCCACCCCAACAAGCTTCACATGGCCCAGCCTGGTCAGGGAGTCCCATAACATACTTCTCCCGCAGACTTCGAAGCTCCTTCTTGATGTCAGCATCCTCAAACTCTGAGTCATTGTCACTGCTGATGTAGGATGACTGGGAGTGGAAGGAGGTGACGCTGATGGTGGGGACCTTCACACTTGCCCTGCTGGGCGTCTCGGGGCCCAGGGACCCAGCCCTGGAGGACCTGTGTAGGAAGGCCGTGGCCTTCTTCACCAAGTCACTGGCTACACCACCACCACCAGGCAGGGAGGACTGCTTCTGCACCGGGGGCCTCCTCCGTGGGCACTCATCCCCAGAGTCACTGGATACAGGCTCGCCCACACCGACCTCAATAGAGGAAGCCGTCTGCACCCGCCGCACGGCCAGTTTCACATCAGGGCTGGAGGGGACCTCGTCCAGGTAGACATCAGGGGGAGCGGAGTACCTCAGGCTGTGGGGGGAGGCCAGTGTCCATTCATCCTGCGAGCTCACCACTGAGAAGCGGCCCACGGTCTTGGCTGATGAACTGCCTTCCTGCTGCCCTGGCCGCTTCCGTGGGGACCCCAACGCCCGAGTGTCATGTATCTGAGGGCAGCTGAGCTGGCTGCCTTCTGTAACTGTCCCTGGGTGGCTCTGCGTGGGCTCTTGTGAGGTTTCCCTGGGGACCCTGCTGTTCTGGTCTGTGGGCCGTATGCATGCAGGGCTCGAAGAAGCAGGGATGGCCTTTGGAAACAAGCAGGAAAGAAAGGATCCCATGAGAACACCAGCTGAAAGCGAACCCCACCAACTGAACAGTGGTATGTCAAAATGTCACTTACCTGGGGGGTACTGGGTGCTGTGGGCAAGTCTGAAGCCACCTGTCCCCCATCACTGTCATAGCCCAGTGTGTTGCTGGAAGATGACTCTGCTGTGGGAACACCAGCAATGTCACAGGGCTGCTGGACAAGGAAGAGACCCACACTGGGCAGGGAAAAGGGAGTTGGCAATCATAGGGGCTACCATGTCTTACAAACCCCAAATACCCTGTGATGCCCTAGCCATGGGCATTTGGTGCATGTCAGTTCACGGAAGACACCTACAGCCTGGAGGACAGCACAGGCACGAGCAGGAGCCCACTCAGGCCGCCAGGCCTCTCCATACCAGTGGCAATGCCCCATCTCCCCAGATGCATTTTGCTTCAAGAGGAACTCATGGAGCAGGAGGGGGCCATTTTCCGCACTGCTCTTGGGGTGTCTAAGGAGTGCCTATGGCACCTGCAGCTGTCCCTGTTCTCCACTTGCAGAATGGGTGCTTCTGGCCAGCTCTACTGAAGAGTCAACCACAGAATCCCAGTGCTGATACCCCATAGAGCAAAGCCCACAGGCAGGCTTCTTAAGAATGTCAAATTCTTGGGACACCCCATCCAGTCTCTGACAAGTGGCCCCAACCAGCAGGCACCACTTGACTCATCCTCGTATCCCAGCAGGTGGCATCGTATAACCCATCTCTGGATACATCCAGGAACACAGAACTCACTACCTACCGTACTCCCTCTACTCTGGACAGCTCTGACAGGCAGAAAAGCTCATCTGTTCTGATCTGAGTCTGTCTCTTAGAGCTTCCCCGTGACTTCTGCAATCTGGAAAGATGGTGGACTTTGGAATGCAAATTACATGGCCCACACATTACAAGCTGTTCCCTCACCTGCCTAGGTCGAGCTGAGGGACAGCTCTCAAGTGTTAGTCAGCAAGGATAATGTGACAGGTAGCTGGTGGGTGGTGGGCCTCTCCTGCTTCTGCCCTGTCCCCCACCTTCCCCCGGCTCCTTATGTGCACAGCATCAGACCCCACAGCTAGCATCCCAGGCCCTCACAATGCTTGGAATCTGGAATGCACGTACCCATCCTGTGCAGCTACAGCAAGGAGCCAGCCACTCCTTCTCTGTGTGGGTGTAGCCCAAAACCACGGGGTCCCACCTGCAGCTGATACAACCCCTTATCTCTATTTCCAGGCTCCACTGGATCCTGAGTCTTATCTTGCCTGGTACTCAAGAAATCCCAAGCTGGAAAGAGTTCTGTTGCCTTAGAGGGGAGCCAGTTCCCTTTAGACAGAGACTCAGGCCATCAGAGAAGGAAATAGGAACTGAAGCAGGAGTCTACACAGAGGTGCACTGCAGCTGGAGCCAGTCAGGGTATAGCCAGTCTGGGTGTAGCCAGTGACTTGGTGAAGAAGGTCACGGCCTTCCTGCACAGGTCCTCCAGGGCTGGGTTCCTGGGCCCTGAGTCGCCCAGCAGGGCAAATGTGAAGGTCCCCACCTGCCACTTCCAAGAGTTTGTGAACCCCAGCCGCACCCTATGCTCTATCCTAAATAAGCAAGGGTGCCCTGGGACATCCAGAACATTGCTGAAGCTCAGGGGCTAGGGACATCCACTATTTGCACGCTTAAGCATTGGGGACCCTCCCTACTGTGTCTCAGAATGTTCCCATCCAGCGTTCACCAATGTCCTGGCAGGATGTCTCTGCAGGGTGTGAGAATGCTGTTCCTTCTAGAACCGCCTCAGGAGCTATGCAGCATCTGAGCATGCCCTAGGTGTTTTATCCTTTAGTCAAGAAGGGATCTTTCTGCACTTTAAAGCATCGAGGTGAGGATGCAGAGGCTGGAAGCTCAGGATCCCGGGCAGTGCTACAACTCAGGAGCACAGGGCCTATGTGACCTCAACTTCCTCACCTGTTACTGATGAAGAGGCACCTTGCTCCTGTTCCTGCTCCACTGGGCCCCATCCTGCAGGGGCTGTTTCTGACTTCTCCAACTGTAGGAAAAACACAGTGCAGTGCCATGAGAGGGCTTGTTGACTTCTCTGCAGCTTAGATCTGCTTCCCCTGTGGAGCTGGAACCTTCCGTGGCCTATCTTCCTCCTTAGGTAGACAATTGGGCTGGGCTACCAGGCACTGCATGCAGGATCCTGAACAGAGGCCACTTATTGCACAGGTGGGTCACTAAGAGCAGATGGAACATGGGACTAGGGTGGCCCTGCATAGCTAGGATGCCTGCCCACTCCCACTCCACCCCACCCTGGGACTACTTCCACTTCACCATCCTCTAGGATAAATCTAGCTACTCACCGAAGGCTGAGAAGGCTGGGTAAGCTCTCCTCCCAGGACCTCCCGGTGAGGCCCGTCTCCTCTTGGGGGCTCCAGGGAGAAGTCTCTGTCACCTGCCTCCACAGGGGTCCCTGCTGAGGCTGAGGAGGTAGGCACATGCTCCTGGTAGAGTAGAGTCCGAAGCTTCTCATCCAGGCTCTTGATGGTGTTGTCCACGAAGCCCACCCTCGGGGGCGGCCCTTCCCCATCTGACTCCAGGGCCATGGGTGGCAGTGGGGGGGCAGTGGGTCCCAGTGGGGGGCTAGGGAGCTGAGGAGCAGCCAGGCTGATGGCCCCCACTGCAGTGGGGAGTGGAGGTGGTGGCTGACCTAGAGCAGGTTGTAGGGCCCCACTTGGAGGACAGGGCCCTGGAACCACAGCAGGCTGCGGCTCTCCTGGGGTACTGACCTCCCTGTTTGAGGGGGGCTCCCCCAAACCTGGGGGACAACTAGAGACCTCTGGAGTTGAGGTACAAGGTCCTTGGCCTATGCTGAGGGGCTGGGTGGCACGTGGGGCATCATGAGTCTCAGCCAGAGGCTGGGTGGTTTCATGCTCACTGGCTGGCCCCCGAGAGGTCCCTGGACCCCCTGCCTGGGTGGCAGTCCCTGCTGCTGGCTCTGGCATGGTGCTTGCTGGTGCCGCTGTATCTTGGGGCACCACAGTTATGGGAGGTGAAGCTGGTGCCAAAGGGGCTGGTGTCCCACCCATAGGGTCACTGGGGCCTGCCTGGCTCAGGAGCTGCTGGCCAGCTGGGAAGCTGGGTTGTTCCTTTACAAACTGGTCTGTGTAGGGAGCTGGGTCTAGAAGAAATGGGAAAAATGCCTCAGTATCCAGCCACTCTGATGCACTTCACCTGTTCCTTCCCTTCCACAAAATGCATTCCTTACAGACTCTGGCTGCCTGACTGCTGCCTTCCCAGGATGCCCTCCAGGGGCTCCTCACCTCCTGGTCTCAGCCCAGTCAGGCCTCCCTGGGCTGCACCAGCACCAACCCACAGGCTTCTTCCTATGGCCTGTGACTGTCAGGGTGTCCTCCTCCCTTGCATCTGAGTGTCCAAACCCTCCCCACTTGGTGAGCTGCACCAGACACAGCTCCTGCCATCTCCCAGTGGCCTATTCAAAAGCCTTCTCAATCTATTTATAGAGTTGCAGTGTTTGGATGGTGAGCTGTAGTGCTTCCATGCCCACCATGGGCAGGAAAACACACCATTCCCATTCAGCCGACGTCGTCAGTGGTAAGGTCAGAGCACAGTGCCTGCTTCTGCCAGGTGCCAGGGGAGGATCCCAGGGGAGAGACCTGGAAACTGAGTGAGGACACAAAGTCCCAACAGCACAGGGGCCTTCAGCATGCTCACAGGACTGCAAGGACCTGAGAGGGGCATGAGCGACAAGGCATTTTCCAAGCCTGCTGAGTTGTAGGGCCCATCTTTAAAACAGCAAACCATATGTATTTTTAATATGTGACCAGAAAATGCACAGCATGTTAATGACAGCAACGTGCTGCCTGCTATATCTCGAGAACTCTACATACCTGGAAGCTCCATTTTACTCTCCTGAATCTATTTTAGTCATCTCACGTAAAAATGGGGCCAGGGATATAGACTAAGGCCAAGACCCAGCAGTGACAGGCTGCACCGGGATGCAGCACAGTCATCCATCTCTGCACATATATGCATTGATTCCCACTGGCACAGTGATCCATGTGGAGAAGGAAATAGAAAGCTCCGCCAAGTTGGTACCAGCGCACGTGAGCAATCGTTTACTTCGAAAACGTTGTTTTGGGATGAACTGCATTTTCTTTAAGTGAAAAATAAAGCTGTTGTGCCATGGGCACCAAGCTTCACTCACTGTAAGTGATCAGAGCACTGGCTCTCGAGCTTGGCCGCAGGCTGGAATCTGCTGGGAGGGTTCAGCACAGGCCGATACCAGCTCCCAGCTCCAGGAGTCCAGCCATGACCGTGAGGCAAGCCCGGCCTTCTGCAGTCCTCCAGCCCTCCTGCCCTCCTTTTTTCTCCTTCTACACCTGTCCCCCAACGCTGCCTGTATCTGTCTTAGGATCCTGAAAAGAAATGGTAATGCTGGGCATCTGGGTCCTGTTCCCCATCTCAAAAAGTGGCGTTCAACATTTTAAAGACTATTTACTGTCTTTCTTTTAACAAATACAATTCTCTACTGAGATAATCACTTTTCTTCTTAAACAGATTCGCCACACTGTTTATTCAAATTAAGTGAAACTAAATATATGTCCCCAAATCAATGCAACTTAGTCACATTTTTTTCATGGGATGCTGCTTACACTTGCTACTATTTGCAAAACTGAGTAAGTGATTAAAAGCCTTCTAGGGGGGGCCTGGCCCTAGCTCAGTTCTTTAAGTGGCTGCTTCCACCAAGCTGTCAGCCTCAGGTTGCTGTAGTTTGATCCCCACAACACTCCAGCCAGCCAAACCACCCCTGAGGACATTTGGAGCTAAAAAAAAAAAGCCTTCTAGGTTCATGATAAAGCTGATAATTCTGTGATCTAAATCTTCTATATCCTTATTGATTTTTGTCCTCCTCTTCTAACTCTCCCATTGACTATAAAATCCTCTATTTCTTGTTTTTGTTAATGTTTACTTGTCTTTTTTTGAGTCTATCTTATTAAATAGCCAGAAATACTAAATTACTCTATCTTCCTAGTGAAGTGAATCTTTCATTATTATGTTTTTGCCCTAAAGTCTACTTTATCTAACATAAAAATACGTAAAATACACTAGCTTTTTAAAGTTAGTATTTCATGGACTTTTTTCCAATTATTTTACTTTTAAAAATACGTAAAATACACTAGCTTTCTTAAGTTAGTATTTCATGGACTTTTTTCCAATTATTTTACTTTTAACCTTTTATATTATTATTTCTCATTTGCTGATATTTACTTATTCTCTATTATTTGCTTATTCTTTTTTTTTTTTTCCTTTACTTTTTACAATCTTTGAGAACTAGGCCATTTTCATTTAATTAATGACCCATTTGGGTTAAAACTATCATTTTACTAAAGATTTCTGTGTTCTCCATGTTCAATGTTACCTTTCTCTCTTCCCTCCCCTTGCCTTGATTTTATTTTCAAAATTCCTTCTCTACCCTGCTCTTCCACCAAGAGTGTGGAAGTCATTGTGATTTTGGTTCTCACAGGGGTTATTCTGTAGACAATAACACGAATTTTTTATTTGGATCTTGCCAGACAACACAAGAACCCCAAGGTCCTTTAAAAAGTCCAATTCCTTCTCCTTGATAAACAGGCCCACATTTCTGTGCATATTAGCATGTCAAAGGTATTTTAAATCTCAAAAGACATTTCCTTTTGTAGTCAACGTCCACTCAGCCATTATTCACCCCTGCATTCTGGTCATCCATCTGGGGTCTGGAAATATTCCATTTGACATTTATTAAGCTGAGATGTGCAGGCGATAAACCTGTGTCTTTACTCCATCTTCCTTCCAGTGGGTCTCCATCGCCAGGATAGGAGGGCGGCGCCTTTCCCCTCTGTACTCTGACGACAGCAGATCCTGGTGTGCAGGTTGGGGACTGAGACAGGCTTCTTCAAAAGAGAAGAGCACCGCTGCTGCTTTATTTTTATAGACCTTGCTTTTTTACACTAGCACCTCGTAATTTTTTCATGCGTCTAGTTTTCACAATTTAAATACAATATATTTAGGGGCGGGGGAGATAGCTTAGTAGAATAAGCACTTGCCTGGCAAGCGCAAGGGCCTGAGTTCAATCCCCTGTTCTGTCAAATAAATAAATAAATAAATAAATAAATAAATAAAATATATTTAAAACTGATTTCTTTACACATTTTCAGAAGTTACAGGTTTCATTAATTTCACTTTTCTAATCTCCTCAAATGTGTTTAGCCTTATTCTATTGCTTTCTGAGACTACGATTATGTTTTATTTCATTTTATTTATTGTCTCAAAAATTTTATTTAATTTCTACTGGGAATTGAACTCAGGACCTTGTGCTTGCCAGGCAGGTACTGTACTCCTGAGCTAAATCTCCGGCAAGTCCAATTATATGCTTGATCACGACACTATAACTGCTTTGTTTCTCAGCTCTTCTCTACTTCCCATAGTTTTCATTATCTTTATTTTATTATTTATTTATTTTTGTATTTAGAACAGGGTCTACAGGGTCTCACTGTGTAGATTGGAATAATTGTGATCCTCCTGTTTATAGCCTCCCAAGTGCTTGGATTATAGGCATGCGCCACCAAGCCCAGTCTCAATTGCCATCTCAGCACACCCTGGGGGTGGGGCTGGCACAGCAGGCCTGGGGATTGAACTCCCAGCTGGGTCTGCCTAAGCAGGTGCTTTAATCCGATGAGCTATTTGGCCAGCCCTCTTTATTTTATTTTAGATATTTTTGAGCTACCTTTTAGCTTACTAATTCTCTGTCAAATGATGTACAAACCATCCATGGAGGTCTTCATCTTAACTATTGCATTCTTCAGTTCTAAAATCTCCATTTAGCTGTTTCTAAACATAATCTGCAATTCTCTGAAAAAAATTCAATCTGATCACTTGTTTCTTTTACCATAAGAAGCAAGCATGTTAGCAGTCTGACTGATTCTAGTACCCGAAACCTCTGAGAGGTTCTTTTCTTTTAATATTTTTGTTTGGCTTTTTAATAGCTTTATGGTGGTATAAGTACCACAGTAACTTGCACATAAAGTACAGTGCTGTAAGTTTTGACACCAGTTTGTAAACAAACCATCAGTGTGGACGCTTCCTTGTGAATCTTTTTTTTTTTTTTGCAGAAACGGGGAATGAACTCAGGCCCTTGCACTTGCCAGGGAAGTGTTTATTCCACTAAGCCATCTCCCTGGCCCCTTACTGGTGAATCTTAATTCATCTCTCTTTCCCTTTCCTGCCATACTTGTTTGCAGACAACTGCTTTTAGCTCCTGCATTTTGTTTTCTAGTATTTTATATAAATGCACCACAGAGCACATTTCTTTTCATCTTACCTCATGAAGCACGATTATTCTGAGAATCACACATGCTGGAATAAGTACCCTAATTGATTCCTTTTTATGGCAAAGAAGTGTTATACTGTATAGATAAATTACCAAGTGTGCCTGTCTGCTTGCTGATGGAGGGCTGGCTGTTTCTGGGGTTTAGCTGTCAGAAATACAGCTACACCGACATTCCTGTACATGCCTTTGTAAAGGGCATTGCATTAATTTCTTTTGAGTAGGGACAATACACCCTCTTGATCTATTCATTTCACATGCGTGAATCAAATTAACCATAAATAGAAAAAAAAAGTGGGTTTTTTTTATGTATTTGATACAGGGTCTCACTACACATCTCAGACTCACGGTGATCTTCCTATTTTCAGCCTTCCCAGCACTAGGATTATAGGTGTGTGCCACCACACCTGGACTCTGTCACAGGCTCAGCAGGCAGGCGCAGCTTGTGGTACCAGGGGTCGAACCCTGATCCTTGTGCTTACCTAAGCAGGTACTTATCTCACCGTCCTAAAAAAAAGGCTTTTAAACTGTATTTGTAATACAGACTTTTCTCTTGTCATTATTCTGCAAGCCATATAGTATAATAACCATTTACAAACCACAAAACATTTACATCAGATTATTACTAGTAATCTAGAGTTAAGGGAAGATGTGCAAAGATTATTACAAATAGAGTACTATACCTTCTATGTAAGGGTCTTGAACAAATACAGATTCTGGTATGAGGGGGTGTGCCAGAACCAACCTCCCACAAATGCAGAAAGATGACTATACTTAAACACGGAGTGGGGGGA